AACAAAACAAAACAAAACAAAAAACATGACGAAAGACGAAGTACTCCATACACTTTTAACAGTTTTGGAGCGCCTGATTCTACCGCGGGGTGACATTTTTTCCTTTCACGTCGCAACCCCAGTTGTGCTGAACAGTCATGTTACAGTTTTTGTTTATCAAATACACTTACATTTGAGGAAATGAAAAATTCAACGCGAACAACTAAGATTCTTGTTGTCGATTTTATGTAGACTTTCTTTTAATGCACGTGTAAGTTCGGAGAAAGAGAAAGAATAACATGTCTGAGATGTTTGAACAAGCGATTTAAAATTAATGATTTATCACTCGCTCTTTTCATTTAAAACTGTTACTTCCTTTGGTGTTTTCTGATATAGTGTGGCGTGGTGCTAGTTTGACAAAGCTCACAAAATCAATTATTGCATCGTATTCACCTTGAGATTTAATGAATGGCTTGATGGCTGAATTATCTCTTGCGCGTGCGATAGATGAGTCTTGACTGGTTTCAATAGCAGCGACTGACAATGTTCTAACGCTTTTGACTGCAGCTTCATCGGGTTGGTTATATACTATAATCCACACAGCTGTAGAACACCTTACCCACCATTGCCTTTGATGTCCTCGTGGTGTGCACTCAGCATTTTGCGTTGTCACGCCTTTTTTTTATCGTCATGCACTAATAATTGTGCGTCTTTGTTTGCCTCTGTTGACAGGGAAAGCTTTATCTTGAGTAAAGGTGGTCCTTAGTTGTGATAACTTGCTTCAGTGTTGGCGTTTGTTTTTTTTGGTTTTTTTTTTTTAGCTTTTAGACTGATGTGAGTCAATGGTGTTCGCTCAAAGGGTTTTGACGAAGTACTTTCAGCTTGTATCTGGTGTTGTGGCTGATTTTTTGTTCAAACTTTTCCATTGTACATGGTGTAGCCTTTAATAGCTGGTTTTATTCTTTATTTGTCTATTCCGTTTCGTTATAGATTTTAACATGCTGTTGTATTTGTATGGGGATGTAGTTCCAGGATCTCATCTTCTAATTTGGCATTTTGCGAATTCAGGGTTATTTTCCTGGGCTGTACCTATTCAGTCACAATAACTGCCTTGAAATGATACATTTGTGTTCATTAATTTGCCACTACAATAAGCAATTTCTCTGTTTGTCTTGCGCACCCAGTTTTATTTGTCCAAAAGTTTGCTTTAACGGTGTCAGTTCAACAGCACGACAAGAAAATATTACATTTGTTTAAAAAAAGAGTCTGTATGAAACTGAACGGAAAATTTAAAGGTACTGATAGATTTACACTAATTCAATCTTTGAAGGGTTTAGGAAAGAGAATGTGTTTGGAGTATATATTTTACGGACTATTATGAAAGCTGCCTTTTCGACAAGAAAAACGTACGTGTAGATTCATAATGAAGCCACATTGCACTCGAAATGGAGAATTTATAATAAACGTCCCCCCCCCAAAAAAAAAAAAGAAAAGGAAAGTAAAGACACTATTGTATAGTTGTTCTGCTATTGCTCTGCCAGTTTAAAGGATATTTATTATCATTGGTGTCAAGAAGTTTGGTGTTAGCGCAGCTTTCGTAGTACACTTATTACTTTTTCCTTTGCACGTGTTAAATCATTCGAAAGTACATGTTTTCTTTTTTTAATCGTTTATTAATTTGTTGCAATTTTATTTGCATTGAAGTCATAGTTTGAGTTATTGTGGGCACTTATAACAATATTTTATTTCATATTGCGTGAACAAAACTTCCAATGAAGATAAACATAGTCTTCTTTCCCTTTATTCAATTTCTCCATCCAAGCTAAATCCTCTTTGATCTTTATCAATAGACCTATTGGGACCTGATTCAACAGTTTATAAAATAGAGTGAATCACAAACGTCTGTCTACAAATGTCTCTCTCTGTCTCTACAATTTATGGTATTTTTTTTCTTGTTGTCTCTCTATAAGTTTATAACACGATAGCAATATATTTAATGTGACGATCGTATAACTTGTTTTTTTTAGAATTTCTCAGTGATTCTAGTTATAAGACTACGATTCAAGAAAAGTAGTCCAAACTGTGTGATATATTTTAGATCTATGTATTCCCATACAGAGCTCAGTCTGTTTTATCCACTGATATTCGAAAACCATTTTACGAGCACATACACTTTAAACTCAGAACTTAGAACATTGATATAAGAGGGTACACTGTTCTAGAATTCAGATTTTACAAAGAAAAAGCCCATTAGAAACACATTACAAAGCAAGCATGGCTACTCGTGTTTTCTAGATTGGAATGTTTAATTTAGGGTTTTAAGTCTTGCATTTGAATAAATTATAAAGATAAGAAGTAAATCTTTATAAATTTGTCATTTCTTTTTCTCTTCTATTCCAGCGAACGGTGGTCCCATGATTCAGTGAGTATTCATTATGCTTTATGTTGAAGGTGTTTCACGGGCCTTTTATCCGCAGAATCTTGCTAGTTTGAAAGAGGCAACCCGTTATGCATGCAGATAAAGGAAAAACCAAACAAAAACAACTACATAGGGGACAAAACAGACCCGCCCCCTCATCCCAAAAAGGAGAAGAAAAAAAGGTGTATGTAGTTTTAAGAATCGTGTCTTATAGTGAAGTTGCTGTAACCTCAACATGTTTATAGATATGCGCCGTACACTCCTAGGTGGGCACTTGAATAGGCGTAAAAGTCTTGAATATCTAGTTCTCACTTACAAAACTGAAGGCAAACGAGGCAGGGATAGACCCAGAGCAACATTAGAGAGCCCAAAGAGATGAGTAAGGGGGAGAATGATGTGATGTAGCTTTTTAGAGCTTCCGAGAAGTGGAATACATGGAGAACCACGATCGCGCCGATGTCTGTTGCAGATTTGGCACTTGATGATCCTTGTACACTCGGTTGTAATTGTAATACACGACTACGCCACATGACAGACGCTAGTACTCTCTATTGTTAGCTAGACTTCTCAACGGGACAATGGTTGTAAAGCACATAGAGCACGCTGTGGAGCGTGAATGTGCGCTATATTAATTCAATTTGTCTTCTTCTTCTTCTTCTTCTTCTTCTTCTTCTTCTTCTTCTTCTTCTTCTTCTTCTTCTTCTTCTTCTTCTTCTTCTTCTTTT